GAAGAGAATGGGATGCTTCCATAGTGTAATGGTGTTCATACTTTTGTTCATCAAAGACAAAAATATATTATAGAAATTAAATTAATTATTAAGGATGTTTTTGGTTCAAGAAGTGGAGGAAGGGGAGTGGGGAAAATTTTTTTACCAACAAGATTTCAACATGTTATACGATAATTAGTTAAAAAATTCATCTTCCCAACCTTTTCTCTCCATTTTTCTCAAAATAGATATATTCTAAAGGTTTTTTTATGTTTTTGTTTAAGTAGAGTTTTTACAAGAATAATACCAACAATCTGTTGATTCAAATGAAAAGAGTTCGGTTTTCCTTAAATAAGATTTTGAATTCAAGTTTTGTGAATGGAAAAACAAATATTAAAAAAGTTTTCTCTTTAATTGAGTCTGACTTTAATTGAGTCTGACGCGATTTAATTCTGAATTAATTAAAATTTAATGTAATTACTGGATATAAAAAAATTAATAAAAAAAAGTTTTACTGGAATAATAAATTATAAATTTATTTAAAATAATTATTAAAATTTAAAAGTTATATTCCATAAATAACATTTTTGGCTTATAGTTTCTCCTAGTATTTACAAGCTTGCACTTTTTAAAATGCAGCTTAAGTTTTGTTTGAGAACACTTTTCAATTTTTTAACTTTTCATTTTTATGTTTTTTAATTATTTTTAAAATATATAAAATATTAATTATAATAGATATTAAATGTATTAAATATATTTTATATATTTTAAAAATATTAAAAGATTAAAAACTTACAATTATAGTTACATATTAACACTATCAAACTAAATAAAAAAAAACTGATGTTGTAAAAAGAAAAAGGAAAAAAGAGGACGACATTTGTTACAAAATTGATTAGATTTGCATCAAGTACAGACTCTGTGCGGTTCATTCTTCACCTTCTGGCTAGCGAGATTTTGTCACATTTCTTATAAGGTGTAGGAATAGAATTGTGAACTTGAGCCTTGACGGATGACTGCAATATGCCTTAGTTCTGAACTTTGAAAATTTGAGTAGTTTTGCAGAATAAATCTTCTTAGATTTTCATGGTGCATGCCATCAACACTAATATATGATTTAAGAAAGACTCAAATGTGTATTTATATGCAGAGTCAGAAATAAATACCACATTGAAAAGAATTCATGTTTGAACCATCACACTAGAATAAGAATACACAGATAACTTACATAAAGAATCCTTGAATGGCAGCAAAACCAAATGCCTTATTGATATGTTCCATTCCACCAGCATCTCTTGACACAATACCATGAAATGAAGTAGAGACATTATGAAATCGCAGGCACACTCTAAGCTGCTTGCAAAGAATTAACAATATCCATGAAATCAAGCTGTATAAATGGGCCGGCTTTTCCTGCCGAACAGAAGAAGTTTACGAAATCCTTTGACAGCCTTGGGACTGCTCTCATCATTGTTCCATTTCTTCCTGGATGAGACTGATTCTGTGATTATCTCATTGTTTGGTGGGGTTGAGATTTCTATCTCCGAAATCTTGGGCAAGAGGTATTTGTCATTTATGCTACCATCCTCTTCCATATTCACAGTGGAAAACTTCACAGTTTTTTTAGGTGGTACTTGCAAGGGATGCATCTTCTCTGGAACACTTTCAGTAAAACATTCAGGCAATGTTTTGTCTTCACGAACAACAGTAGATGCCTCAGTTGATTCCTCATCACCCTTTACAGGGTCTGGTTGCAATGACTGTTCTTCAGTAACTTGGTGCATATCAGGCACATTAGCATATGAGCTTCTGTCTTCTGACCCATTCTTTTGTGAAGCTGTGTTTCCTTCAGTTTTCTCAATTGAAGTACTGTGCAACTCCTTAATGTCTTTGAAATCGTCAACGGTGTCAGCAGGTTCAGCAGCTTGTGATGCTACAAGCTCCATTGGTGATGTTGCTGTAGCTTCCATGTAATCCTCCTTTCTTTGTGCATCAGAGTCATGAGGAAGCACGTTGTTTGCTTTAATCAAGTCATTTTTATGGTCAGCAAGTTTCACTTTGTCTGGACTTGATTTTTTATCCCCAGTATGAGAAGCCTTCTGAGATATGGTTGTGCTGCCATTTGCCTTTAGGGTAGCCCTTTTTGGTTGGCTTGATTTTGATTCAGATGATGAGACCTTTGAAGTATTCCGTGCAGTTGCAAGACGTTCAATGGTGGAACTTCTGAGGACTGGCTTTTGTACCTTAGTATTCTCCAGAGTCTGGGCTTGAGTTTTAGGCTTCTCACTTTTTGTGGAAGTGACTGCAGCTTTATTGACTGCTGGGCTCCTCTTGGGAGGTGCTGATTTAAAACCAGTACCAGCACTCCTTTCAGCAATCCTCTTCTGGCGCTGAATGCGCAACTCTTCCATTTTCTTTCGGTTTTCTTCTTCCTATTGGGAGATAGAGGGGGAACAGGCAAGAAAAGGGAAAATGTTATGTCATCATATAATATAACATGCAACATACATTGCAACAATTAGATTTCTGCAACCAAAGAAAAAAACTGCTTAAAAATGTTATAAAATGCCACAAGTTAAAACAGCAGTGATTTCAGACTCCAATGGATATTTATATGCTCCCTTGTACTCTGGATGCGGTTGATTCCAATAAAAAACAGAAAGAAATCCAAATAGAAGTTTGTTTCATAAAATACCTTATCAACTTTACTTTTATGAGCCATGGTTCTGCTTCCAGGAGTTGGTCTTTTGCTCGCAAGTGATCCATTCAAAGCTTTAGATCGTGCATCTTTGTTTAAAAGCTTCCCTTCTGTAGTTCCACGAGTTTTGCTATTAGCTCCCTTTCCATTTGACGGTGGATTTTCATCAGCAGAACCAGTACTTTGAACAGAGTGGCTTCTATTTGCTTCAGCAGATAATATGTTATTCTCATAATCAATTTCTGGAGTCCAAGATGCTACAGCATGCTCAGCAGTTGAGTCACGTCCAAGAACCATGTAAAGATCATCTGGCTCATAAGAAGTTGCAGGCTTGTGTGTGGTCTCTGGAGTGCCATTTTCATAATGAGCAGCTCCAATGATTTCTGGAACCATGCTTATGTCTATCATTGTTTGAGAAATGGATTTTTCTGCTACTGATGGACCTTGAATCATAAAAGAGTCATCAACCAGAACATCCTTCTTGGTTTTCTCAAGGTTGTAATGGTCACCTCTGAATGAAGAAGCATAATCACCATCAAATGGTTTGAGGCCCATAGCACCAACTTGAGCTGATTTATCCTGTTGATTGCCGACAAACCAATCTCCTTCTTTTTGACTTCTTATTCTGGTAGACTCAGTGGCATAATAAGATATGTCAGCTCGGGAACTATTAACAGAATCATTATTTGCTCCCAAAATTAACAACTCCTCATATGTACTATCACTTTTCTTAACAATTGGACGGACAGTTTCATCAGTTTCAAAGGTTCCAAGCCGAGTTTCACCTGCATTGCCTGTATGCATCTTTGTCACAACAAAGGAATCACTTGAGATAACTCTTTGCTTTCTTACATCCTCAGACTCTAGGTTAAATGCTAATGACCTTCCTCCCTGAGCTGTAAAATATTCCTTCTGCAGCTCTATGTCTTGTGGTTCTAACCCTAAAGAATTCAAATCTTTGTCCTTCATCAGAAGGTTCTGGAAAATATCCCAGTTGTCATTTCTTTTTTCTCCCTCAGAAGTGGCAACATTATTAGCTTCTAGTTCACCTGCATCATATGAACTGGCAGCTTGGTGCTTGCTTACATCTCGTTTTTTATGATGGCGTGATGTAGATTTATGTTGTCTCCCCAGTGATCCAACAGCCTCCTCTACCTGTTGTTTGAGGGAATCTCCATCAATGAACTCACCCTCATCAGACGTCTCTTCCGTGTCG